AAGAGGATCAGCAATTTCCTCCATCACAGTAYRGATTTTGTAGAGTGTTGTCAGTATGATTAGCTTGGCTTCTGTTGTCACCAAAATGAATATATCATTTAAYAAAGCCGCATCCATTTTTGCTCATTGTATTCATGACCATGGGAACATACACACCACCATCCTCAAGACAAGTCCAAAGAATTTGGGGAGATTATTTTGAACCACCCAAACCTCCATAGCAGATGCAAATACCAAGCCAGGCAAGGATGTAACCAGAAGTGAAGTTCCATTGGTCTTTGACTGAATGTAGAACACACTTTTTTGTTGGGRTTGGTGACATCACAGAGCTTGAGCATCTTTGTCTTCTTTACCCTTCCATTAGCATCAGCAGCTTCAACTTCTGTCACCCAATCTTCAAACGCATACCGTTGGACTCATTTGCTACTATCATCTGAAGGATTTTTTCATCAAACAAGAACAAGAACAAATGTGCTAACCCCTCCACCTTATTAGTGCAACCATTTATGAATTTCTTATAGCACTGGTAGGACCTGGGTTGCAACTCCTCCAGGTGATGTATACTAGTACTGGGCATTGGGAGGAGGATACCATTCCTCTGCATCATCACCCAGCTTCCAAGCTTCATTTGGTACTACTGTCAATTCCTCCTCCTGCCTCAACCAGTACTGCTCCTTCACTGATCAGATACTCTCAATTGTCAAACTCAAAATTGATTGCTTCATATCCTTGTACTTTGAAAAGTCATCACAGGCTATTACTTTTGCATGGGCTTTACAATCTTCCAAAGAATTTATGTGCATTTGTAAGCTCTTCTCCTGTGACATGTTTATACAGTAGAGAGACGTAGATTTCCAAAGAATCATGTGCATTTGTAAGCTCTTCACCCGTGACATGTTTATAGACAGTAGAGAGACGTAGATCTGGAAGTTTGTTGGACTTGGATGGATTCTTCAAGGGACACCCAGCATATTTTTTGATGATCAGATATGGATCCATAGTCATCTTGGGAGGGGCTCCTAGTACTGTGAAGGTGCAGGCCACCACCACTGTTGTCAGAYAGGTCTGCATCATTAGTAGTAGTATGACCATAGTATGAACAATTGTCAACCATCAGAAAAAGGAGAATCATCATCATCCATCTTATTAATATGATTATTTTATGTTGGTGGTAAATATGATGGTTTGGGTTATARTTTATATTCTGGTTTGGAGTGTTTTATATTTTCTTGGTTGGATATTACAAGGAGAGAAATGAATGAGCAGAAAAGGTGTTTTATAAAGTAATTGTTTAAAACTCTTTTGGTACTTCAGTCTTATTTTGTGTAGGATTTGTACTGCAGTCTATGCAGG